GGGGAAAATGTCCAAAGGACCCTTAGCTAGTCTAAAAGGGTGGGCAAACCATAATGCTGGACCTTGTATTGACTGATGGTGGACTTCCCACCAAAGGCTGGCTTGCTGATGGATCTTCTGCTATTGGCTGGTCCTCCGTAGCGTCCCTCCTCCAATCAGGTGTGCATATTCTGACACTCTGTCAGCCCAGTATCTCAGACTTCATGCTGTGTGCTCTTGTCTCAGACCCCAAACGTGTGTCTGTGCAGTCATTGTGGGGGTTGTGTGACCATCCTTGTCTTTGCCTGGCCATTTCATTATCTCCAATGTCTTTGGTCTCTTACATAGGTAAGGAAATGCATTCTGTTCTGCCCTCTACCTACCTTCCTTTGTACCAGAGGGATGCATGCGTGTGCATGTGCATGTGCATGTGTGTGCATGTGTAAGCCCAGTTCCACCTCTTTTGTGTTTAAGAGTCCTGTCAGTCTCATCCCAATGATCATCTCTTCTCCCCTGGCCATTTTCTGGCTCGCTAGCACTTAGACAGTAAAGAGTTATGGGAATCTTGGGTCTTCTTTGAGTTTCTATTGCTGTGGTGGCAAATGCCCACAAACTTAAAGCAATACAATTTTATTCTCTCACACAAGTCGAGAATAGATGTATTAGGTTGCAGTTTCTTCTGGAGGTTTCCAGGGAGAATCTGTTTTCTTCCCTTTTCAGCTTCTAATGGCTGCCCGCATACCTGGGCTTGTGGCACATCATTCCCCCACCCCCTACTCCCCTCTCAGACGTCTGCTTCATCCCTGAGCGCAGACTGGGCCCCAGGGCCAGGGGTTTTGGTCCGGTTTCCTCCAGTGGCTTGGAGTTTGATGTGCAGGACCCTGATGACCAGCTGCTTGCACCTCTGGGCCACATCCTGGGCAGCCAACATGGCGGCGTAGGGCGAAGATTCATCTCGATCAGCCTTCACCTTCATCTCTCCCATCACTCGACAGATGGTTTCCTTGTCGGAGAGGTCAGAGACAAGGACAAAAGTGTCATTGAAGGAGACAAAAAGGTGGCCGAAGACGTTCTCTCCTTCAGCCACCTGAGGGCCGAGGCTGATGACCTGCTCTTCCTTCTTTCCCTTCCCCTTGCGAGGTGCCATGTCTGCGCCTTCTCTAGACTCCGCCACCAGCCCAAGGGGGGTTCTGTTGATTCTTTGGATATTTTCATATGTACAACCATATCATCTGTGCACAAAGACGATAGTATTTCTTCCATCCCAGTTGTCTACCTTTCTCCCCCCTTTCTTCTCTTACTGGGCTTTCTAGGACTCTAGTACATGTGGACTAGGAGTGATGAAAGGAGACACCCAGGTCTTCCCACCCCCATCTGAAAGGAAAATGTAATTTCTCGCCATTAAGTATGGTGTTAGCTGTAGGGTTTTTGTAGACTTTTTAAATTTTGTTCAGTTTTCATTTATTCCTTATTTGTTTGTTGAAGGGTTTTCATCATAAATGGGTGTTGAATTTTGTCAAATGCCTTTCCAAGTCTTTTGATATAATCATATGATTTTTTTCTTTAACCTGTTGATGTGATCTGTTATACTGATCTTTAAATGTTGAAATCTTGCACACCTAGGATAAATTCTATTGGTTTGCTACATAACTCATTTTCTTCTGCTTATTAATATGTTATTTTTATGAAATTCCCTGAAAGAGAAGTTTGATTGTTGATTTTGAATTTTTTTCCCTGTAATACTCTAAGCATTCAATGCTATAAATTTTCCTGGAGGCATCGCTCTTGTTGAATCCTACAATATTTTAATAAGTTCTGTTTATATTTAGCTCAAAGTATATATATTTTAATTTCTTGAGACTACTTCTTGAACCTGCGTTTAGAAGTGGATTGTTTAGTTCCTCAGTATTGGAAATTTCTGGCCATCTTTCTGTTGTTAATTTTTTAGGTTATCCAATATTGTCTGAGAGTATTTTTGGATATATATATATATATTTATTTATTTATTTAATTTAAGATATGTTTCATGGCCCAAGATGTGCACTCTCTTCATGAACAATTCATGGGAGTTTGAGAAGAACATGTGTTCTTTGTTGTTAAGAAGAAATAGTCTATAAATGCCCATTAGTTGATTGGTGGTTTTGAACGGGTGTCCAAATCTTTAACTATAATCGTGGATTTGCCTATTTCTTGGTGCGGTTCTATCAGCTTTTGCTTTATGCATATTGGTGCTCTGCTATTACATGTAGATACATTTTGAATTGCCTTCTTGGAGAATGAACTCCTTTATAATCATATAATGCTCCTCTTTATCCTTCATAGCTTTCCCTGCTCTGAAATCTGCTCTGTCTGAAATGAATACAGCTATACTAGCTTTAAAAAATGATATTAACATGGTATCGCTTTTGCCACCCTTATTAGTATATCTGTCTTTATATTTAAAGTGAGTCTCTTTTAGATAACATTTAGCCAGGTCTTGTTTCCGCTCCACGATTAGAGGGGCTTATTAGCGAAGTTAATAGGTCACCACAAGTCAGCATCAGTAAACTGAAAAGATACAGTTAGTTGTGTTGTCTGATATGTGAATTACATGCCAATCAAACTGTTACAATAAAGAAAATAAAGTGAATGTTCAAAAAAGGAAGAAAGGTCATTGGTCCACAGTAACTTCTCTCTGCAATCAGAACCCAGTCTGTCTCATCCTCTCGGCCATGCTGTTCCTCGGCTTCTACGTCGGTGGGCCAGGAGGGCAGCTAACTGCTGCCCTGTCTCACAGCCCCTGAGTCTTGGGGCCAGCTGAGGAGAAGCTGTCCCCTTCTCAATGGTGCTCCGTTAAGTCTCTGTACCACAATCTGGTGCGTCCGGTCTCAGTGGCCTCTGCCACGTCAGACAGAGAGCTTGCATGATCTCTTCCAGTGGTCCTCTAGCTGGGTCTTTGGAGCCACTCTAATGGTCTCTGTCTTCTCCTTGGTGTATGTCTGTGGTTTGCAACGATTATTGGCATAGCTGGACTAGCATCTACTCTATTGTAACAACTATGTGCTTTTAGCCCTTTCCCTCCCAGCGCTCATGTGGTCCTTCTCCAGTTTCAATTGAGCCCTTTTATGGGAGAGAACATGTGATCATTTTTTTTCTCCTGTTAGCATATCAAGCTTGTTTCTTTAGAAATGTGTGTGGTTTCCCTAGAGTTTACAGTACACGTTTACAACTAATTTTAAGTTGACTTTGAAACAACAATATACCACTTCACAGGCAGCTTAAAACAGAGTGCAAGCATACCTCAGAGATATCGTGGGCTCAGTTTCAGACCGCCAAGGGAGCAAATGTAGCAATCAAGTGAGTCCACGAAAGGTTTTGGTTTCCCAGTATACACAAAAGGATGCTTATACTGTCATAGTGTCGTAAATGGGCACTAGCATCATGAAAATGTGTGCGAGACTGTGAGAATTACCAACTGTGACCAAGACATGAAGGGAGCAAACGCTGTCAGGAACAAGGCACGGAGAGACTTGCTTGAGGCCGCGTTGCTATAAACATGCATTTTGAAAACAAGAACAAAAAAAGTAGTCAATCCAAGTGAAAGAAAACAAGGTATACTTCTATTTCCAGTTCCTCCTTAAGTGCATCGCTGTTTTACACTTCGCTATCTATACGTTATAACCATCCAGGTATTCCTGATATTTTTATGCTAAACAAACTGTGATCTGTTAGATCAGTTGAGAAGACAATATTTTGTTTTCATTTTTTCTTATTTCTTCTTCAGTAATATTCCTTTCTTTATGTGAGTCTGAGTTTCTGACATATGTAATTTTCCTTCTCTCTGAAGAACTTTCAATATGTCTTACAAGGCAGTCTACGAGGAGCAAATGTCCTTGGTTTTTGCTTGTCTGACGGAGTCTTTAACTTTGGAAGGAAGAGTTCACTGGACTGGAACTCTAGATCAGTATTGTTTTCTTTTCAATATGTTAAGGACTTCACTTTCTTCCTTTCTGGCATGGTTTCTGAAGAGAGATCCACATGGTTTCTGAAGAGAGGTCCAGTGTATCTTTTATCTCTGTTCCTCTTTAGGGAAGGCTCTTCCTCTCTGCCTTCGTTTCTCTCAAGATTTTCTTTGTCTTTGACATTTTGTAGCTTCTTTATAATATGTCTAGTTATGCTTTTTTTCTGCATTTGTCTTGTCTGGTGTTATTTAAGCTTCCTGAATCTGTGGTTTGGGGTCTGTCACTAATTTTAGAGAGCCCTCAATTAGTTACCTGAAATAGTTCTCCTGTTTCCTCGTCTCTTCTCTTAGTGCATTTCCATTATACATGTGTTAGATCTTTTGAAATTAAACCAATATCACAATTCCTGGCTATTATGTTTCTTTTGTTTCCCGGTTTTTTCTTTGTCTTTAAGTTTGAACATTTTTATTGACACATCTGCAAGATCATTGATTCTTTTCTCAACCACAGTCAGTGTACTGATGAGCCCTTACACTTACAACACTTTTTCACTTGTACCATTTCTTTTGCATTCTTTCAGACCATTTCTAGCTTTCTGTTTACATTATCTCTGTTCCTGCAGCTTGTCCACTTGTGCCAGCAGAGCCCTTACCATAGTAACTGTGTGCTACAATCCTGGTCTGATAACGCCAACAGCTCTGCTGGGTCTGCCTCGGGCGCTGATGTTCGCTTGGTTTCTTCAGATTGTGTTTTTCCTTACTCTTTAGCATGCCCTGTAATTTTTTGTTGAACATCTGAAATGATGGGCCAAGGAAAAAGAAGTGTGGGAAATAGACCTTTGGTGTGAAGTTTTCGGTTTACCCAGCAAGGAATTAGACTGCATGCTTATTGTAGCTGTAGGTTCAAGGGCTCAAACGTTCCCTTGTGCCTTTGTTTTTGTCTTTCCTGTTCTCATGTGAAGGAGCTCTGGTGGTGCAGTGATTTATGCATTCAGCTACTAACTACCAGGTCAGCAGTTCAAACCTCTAGAGGCTCCACTGGAGAAACACGAGGTTCTTTGCTCCCCTCATGACGTAGTGCCTCAGAAACCCAAAGGAACAGCACGACTCCGTCTTACAGGGTTTCTATGAGTCAGAAACGACTTGATGACAGATAGTGTGGAGTTTTTGGCTTGTTTGTTTTTTAGGTTTTCCCAGAAATTCTTTAAATAAGTGTGAGCCTTGCATCCCTTCAGCTGTGTGATACAGTGAATTATTTAATATGGTCCTTCTAGACATATTCTTAGGAGCCCAGGTGGTGTAGTGGTTAGGCATTGGGCTTTGATTCGCATGGTCAGCAGTTCAAAACCACCTGCAGCTCTGCAGGAGAAAGACTAGGCTTTTTACTCCCGTCAACAGTTATAGGTGCAGAAATCCACAGACAGTTGCTGTGAATCAACATTGCTTGGATGGCAGTGAGTGTTTTATTCTTTGTACCCACCACCAAAAAGCTGGATGGGATTATACCAATGAGGTACTTGTGGTTCACCAAGGGGGTTGGATGCTGTGCTAATACTGTAAATAAAATGGATGGCATTCTTGTGGGGTGAGGCCATGCATTAAAATGAGTCACCCTAGAGGCAGAAAGGGGAACCTTATGACCATCAAGAAAGGAGAGGAGCAGAGCTTTCTCTTTGGACCTGGGATCCCTGCACTGAGAATCTCTTTGACCCAGGAAATGTAGAAAGCGCTGTAACTCCAGAGCTAGTGGGAAGCAGCAGTGGAGAACTGCTGGTAGCAGAAGCAGATTATAGGCAGGAGACTGACAGCACGTTTTCTGTCAGTACAATGGGCTTCCCAGCCCCAGAGGGGGAGACCTGAGGACCCTTGGACAGGAGACTTGCTGGTGGAGTAGAGCAGACACTCATATCATATGTAAGAGCGAGCTTTATATCAAGTAGTAATTGTATATCAAGCAAACATCTCAGCCCAGCCCAGATCAAGTCCATAAGTCTGATACTAGTCCGTCAGTCCCTCTTCAGACTCACGCAACCACAAGCAATGATGCAGTATGCCGGAATATTACAGGTCGGTGGGTGCAAAGGCATGTGGATCCAATGGTGGTGGAAGCATCACAGGGCTCTGGCATGTCCCAGAGTGGCTTGCCAGCAGGAAGATGAAGGCAGAGACCATGGGTGGGGTGGGGAAGAGATTCCCAGTCCCTCTTTATGAGGC